CCTGTTGGAATTTATACGGACGAAGCAATTGAGAAGTTGTTAGACCGTTCTCAGATGAAGGTTGTTGAGAAGAATACGGAGTCCAAAAATTTGACTGGATTCGCTTTCGCACGTGTATGGGACACCGAAAATCAGGTCATAATTGATGAGATCAAAACTGCAGAGCGGGACGGAGAAGCTAAAACTTCAACCGATTTCTGGGATAAGATACTAGCACATGTCGCCAAGCCGTCCACAGTAACGCCTATTGAAGGTCGTGGGGCGAGAAAACGAAATAAAGTCGTAAGTAATCTTGTAACATAACGAACCATTTTTTTTCGTTTTACGGGTTTGTTATCTAATAGATGTATTTTATCATGATAAGAATTATTATGAAGGAGATTATCAATCTACTTCGAAAAAACAGAAAAAGAAGCAACTTCCTGTGACTGATCTAGACTTTGATCCGTCCGAACGCATAGAATCCTCCTCATCTGAGTCAAGCTCGGATGAATTAGATGAGGATGTTATGGGTATGAATATGATCGAAGATGTTAAATTAAAAACTGCAAAAAATGCTCGAAAGGAAAAATCAAAAATCCAAAATCAAGTGGACATTATGGAAAATGGACAACAAACAACCATACAGAATCAAGTGAACGTTATGGAGAATGGACAACAAACGAAAATCCAGAATCAAGTGAACATTATAGAAAATAGAAAACAAATAAAAATCCCGAATCAAGTAAACATTATTGAAAATGGGCAACGAATAACACCCATTTCAGAAGCTAGTAACACTTATGTTAGACAACCGTTAACATACGTTTCAGGTGGAATGTCCAATTCTCCACAAAAACAATTAACTCCCGTTTCATCTGCTCAACACAACTCACGTTATATCGCACCAGCATATAATCAGAAGAATTCGGAATCTCCGACGGCGCTAAACATACAACAGCAACAATATTATGCACAATTGCGTATGCAGCAATATTATCGTCAAATGCAGATGCGTAGACAAGGATATAGTGGTTATCCTGTAGAACCTCAGGCGGCTAATTCGTTAATGACCAATAGTTCAGTCAATTCCAGCAGGCCGGTTGCAACTCAAAGTATTCAACCTCATATTATCGCAGTTAATAACAGCGATTCACCACAAAATGCATATGATATGACTACCACATATTTACAATTTCCTCAGGGAACAAGTCTAAATTCTCAGGAATTTTATTACAGCAATAATTCACATATTAATCAAACGTACATTAAGGACACTAATATGATAAACTATCACACTACACCAACAATTAATAACATTAATGCAACTAATATTAATATTAATGTAAATATTCAACAAAATAATGTTGTAATTCCTAGTCAAGCAAATGCGAGGAATTTAACTAATGCAAGTGGTGATTTGCAACAGGTTGGCTTACAATCAAAGGGAGAAGCGACGGACGTAGCTTCGGAGAGTGGTAGTAATGTGCCTAATTCAAATAAGACGATGATTAATCACTTTATGATGATATTCGATAAATTACAAAAGAGTCAAGAAGATGTGACAAATAGATTAATAGCATTAATAAGAGTTTATCACGAACTACAAAAGTTAGAATTCGACATTGAAAAGTACATTGCGACGCAGTCGGAGAAAAATCAACTCGATAAAGCTCTGATGACAGCTTTTAGACAATCGCAAATAATTTGTTTGGAATCCGATTAGATTAGTTATAATTTTTTAGAATGAATAGTAAATAAAATTTGTAAATCGAAATAATGCAATTTGTATTATATCCATGCTTAATAAAATATATACTCAGCTAGGTGGCGATTCTGGTGCGAATAGCAGGCCTACCGAAAAA